AGGGTGAATGAGAATTGCGGCGTGCGAGATCTGCGGGAGCGGATCAAAGGCATGAGGAAATGGCGGCGGGAGATTGAGCGGACTGTGTGCTGGCAGCGAGAGGAGTATCGACGTGTTCAGAAGGCGATCAACAGGCAGAGCAACCAGAGCGAGGAAAGCGGCGTCACGGAGAGAGGTGTCACAAGGAGGGTTGTCCAGTTCGAGGATGATGAGAATGTCGAGGGCAGAGGAAAAGATAAGGAGGGGGCTGAACCAGTGAAGATAACTGGTGTGCATCGCGACGAGGGGTGGGGCGTTGGTGGGCAGACTTGGGAAAAGAAGAGGTCAGTGTGGCTGTTTCTCGCTGTTGGAGATTGGATTGCAGGATGCTGACTTCATTTGCATCTAGTGGCAAAGTACCAAGTCAGTCGGAGTGGGAGGAATTATTCAGCGATGGCAGGATTGGATGGGATGATAAGGGTATTCGTCGGAGACATTTAGGATGTTAATCTCGTGTGCGGCGTAGCCCTCTCATTCCGTAAAGAGTGAAGGTGTCTTTGTGTTTTGAATCAGGTTGTTGGACATCGGACATTGGCAACCAAAAGACAAGGCTCAGAATGTACGGGACGTACGGTGGCTGCATGCGCAATATGTGCATCGGCGTGGCGCAACAGTATCCTTAAGGTATGATCGATAGGAGGACTCAGTCATCAAAGCCCTCAAACGTATCAAGCTTGTCCTCTTCTGCCTTCTTTGCTTTGACTTGGTCAATCATACGCTCCAGCTCTTGTTGCTTCTCGCGCTCAGCAGGTGTCATCTTCTCCCACTTCTCCCAATCTCGCTTTGTACGCTTCTTACTTCTTCTCAATTCCCTCTCGTCTCGTGCATCAAGCTTGTCGCTCCATGCCCTCTTCAGCTGCTTCTTTTCCCGCGGAGAAGGAGCCACGTCAGCTGTGATAGATACCTCGGTCCTCTCTGCTATTGCCTGTTTCCTCACTTCTTCCCTCTTTCTATCCTTGTACGCATACGCATTCCAGTTTATGTCCACGCCCAGTGCTTTGTCACCCTCCCATTTCTTCAGCTCTGGCATCTTGGGAAGTTTGAGCAATCCCCACGCGTTTCCCGAGTCCTCCCAGTCCAGATCGCCGATCCGAAAGATGCTGCTCGCTTGATGCTTGCTGTAGGATCTGACCCAAGACACAAATCCGCGCTTTGCTTTATCATTAAAAGCACGGTCTGACAAAACTATTTCCCTTATTGCCTTTGTTGCAGCTCGAGCATCTTCATCGGTGACATCGAAACAAGGCCTAGTCAATGGAGTGATTGGAGTTTTGCGGACCTCAAGAAAAGAGATGTAGTCCTCTTCGCGCCCAGGTTGTAAAAAGACCACACTCAAGCCTTTGCGACCGGCTCGCCCAGCTCGCCTGGAGACCTTGGAGTCAGCATTCCTCCTTCCAGACAAAAGGACGGGTAATGAGACGGCTCGGACGGGCATAGGGCGACATTTGCTCCCAAAACATATATTGGAAGCATTCTCGAAAATGTACGTACCCACAACGATGTAAAAAGACCTTGGGATCACTCGGTGGGTCTACTTGGATCACAAGATCCGTTTGAGGGATGTCAAGACCCCTAGCTGCAACATCGGTAGTCAGAAGAATCGAAGGCGTGCTCGAATTAGCAAAGGCAGCAAGATTCTTGATACGGGCCTTTGCTGGATGCTTTCCGTGGAGCGGAATTAGAGTAAAGGATTGACGATTCGGCGACGGAAGGATTGACAAAAGAACGTGCTGAAAGTAGTCAACAGCGGCGCAGGTGGAGAGGAATATGATGATCTTGTTTGGAGATGGCTCTAATGCTGAGAGTATCTTGGAAATGGCGGGAAATGTATGGGACGCAGGAGCGATAAGATAGCTCATCTGGAGACTATGATACGTTAGGATGATCCTCCGCAGCCACGAAAGGATATCTTTTGCGCTTACCTAGACGGCGTCCTTCTATCCTGCCCGCCATCTATTCCCTTGACTTTGACAGCGATTTTCACAGGATTCCGCAAGCCGACCCTAACGATCTCTCCCACCGCCTCGCTTACAGAGGCAGAGAAAAGGCCCGTACGCCTCTGTTTGGGCAGCCTTCCCAGTATCTTCTGCAGGTCTTCCCGAAATCCGAGGTCCAACAGTCTATCTGCTTCATCGAGTACAAGGACTTCGAAGGATGACTGAGGGCACTTGACGAGCGGTGATGACAGAAGTTCTAGTAGCCGTCCAGGAGTGGCTACGAGTAAGCTCGGGCTGTATTTGAGGAAATGGCTTAGATCTTGGGTTGTTGAAGTGTCACCGCCCACGAGAAGCTGTGCAACAACTCTCGGACCTGAAGATGAGGGCGACAGTTTCTCGGTCCCCGCAGAATCACTCTCGTCGAAGGGTTTCATTGCCGCGGAAGAAGGCTCGTGAAAAGCTAGTATTGATTGCAGAACGCCATAAATCTGTGTGGCCAATTCCCTACACCTCTCAGCACCAATCTAGCCGTACCCGCTTCCTTTGTCCTCACCTTGTCGGTGACAAAATAATGGCTCCTACGTGATGGCGTTTGATCTCCTCGTCCAACCGTAAGAGCTTCTCCAAAGTTGGTATCAAGTACGCTAGGGTTTTCCCAGACCCTGTCACTGCTTCTACAACCACGTCTTTATGCTTCATGAACTGTGGTATAGTACTGGCTTGTACAGGCGTCATTCTAAGCACAATCCAGAGTTAGCATCTCTTCCTGAAGGCGTAAGCTTGAGATTGATGTACCGCTTGAAGCCCATGCTAGACATGGCATCAAGAATCCATTCAGCCAACGGCGGCGTAAGAGCCTCCCAGGCTCTTGATGATGAGGCGGCGGCTTTCACGGGCGCTGCCTGCGGTTCTGGCGCCATTTTTTCCTCAAGTCGCCCTTACAAGAGCAAAAGGAAAGCAACCATGAGACCGTGCAGGGTTCAAATGGTTTGGCTTGCGCAGTCTCGCTACGGCTAAGTGAGCAGACAGGGAATTTGTATAAGACTATAGCAGGACTGCGAAACAGAAGAATTGAAGCGATTCATTAGCGTCCGAGGGGTCTTGGCGGCACACGGGGAAAATCGTTATCTAATCTGTTAGCGCTGCGGCAAGCCTTGGCTCACTCGTTCACTGCTTGGAAAAATACTTGGCCGTTTCCTGTCATCATTGACCTACGAATACTTTCAGACATCCTCGGCGAGGGCCAGCAAGCTGCTCAAAGCTGGACTCACCGTCTTAACTTTCACACATTCCCCATGCCCAGATATTCTGCGCAGTTTACCATGTCGAGCGCTTCGACGCAGCACGCGCTCTGGCAGTGAGGCAGAGAAAACGTCACGATAGCGGGCCTCAAGCATCGAAATCACCCACTCCACTCAATTTTGTCAAATAATCGTTCTGTTCTATACACTTCCTCTTCTGGCTTTGGTTCTAGCCTGGTGCTGCCACCGTTCCATTCCTTTTGCGCCCTCCTCGCCATGTCACAACAATACCAAACACCCGGCACCCCTCGAATCATCTCTCCCACGCCCACACCCACCGAAAGTCACCGCGACAGCTACTTCGCCCCCATAACACGCTCCGCCACCGCCAAAAGACACAACTCTCCCTCCCCCATATCCGAAGACCCAGAATCCGACTCCCCTTCCTCAGACTCCAGCCTTGAAAAGCGCGCCCGATCTCGCAGCCGGAGTCCGAAAACCCAAGCCAAACGACAAAAAGAAGCTGCAGCCTCGAAAGCGTCTCAACTTACGAAAAAGCCACCAGATGGTGCGGTTTCTGAGGCCAACGGCCATCTCTCTCCTTCCTCCGCGACTTCTACAGACTCGTCCTACTGGCGCTCCATATCCCGGTCCCCCTCGCCCCTTGGTCTTATCCCTATTCACAGACACTGGCGCTCTTTCGTTCACCGGCATGAAATACCACGCAAAGCCCTACATGTGTCCATCGGCTTCTTCACACTCCATCTCTACACACGCGGAACGTCCGCTGCATCAATACACCCATGGCTGCTAGGTGCACTGATACCCATCGCCAGCGCCGACTATGCGCGGCATACCTTCCCAGCCTTCAACCGGTTCTATATCCGGGTGCTAGGGGCGCTGATGAGGGAAAGTGAAGTAGATGGATACAATGGCGTTATATGGTATCTGCTAGGGGCATGGACAGTGCTGCGGTTCTACCCCAAAGATGTGGGCGTTATGTCAGTGCTGTTGCTCAGCTGGTGTGACACGGCAGCTAGTACCTTTGGACGGCTATGGGGGCGCTACACTCCGCGATTACGACGGGAGAAGAGTCTAGCAGGAAGTACGGCGGCGGCAGTCGTGGGGGCGATTACAGCGGTTGTGTTCTGGGGGTGGGCTGTGCCAACTTATGGGCGTGGAGACGAGGGTTTCATGTTCAAGGGACAGTTGGGACTTCCCAAGGCAGTGAAGGACGCCATTGGCTTGAAAGAAGCGCAGGGTGTGGTGGGTGGATGGGTAGCATTAGGAATAGTGAGTCTCTGCAGCGGACTGATTGCGAGCGCGAGCGAAGTCGTCGATCTTTTTGGATGGGATGACAATGTAACGATTCCTGTACTGAGCGGGCTTGGCCTATGGGGTTTCTTTAAAGTGTTTGGTTGACACTCAATGAATAATATCACCACTCAAAACGATCATAAGTCGTACACTCCACCTCGCCATCTTTGTGAATGCCTACATCGCATCACAGCCTTCTTCCTTGAACTACCAAGCGCCACGTAATCACGGCTCTCTACCCAAGGTCACCAACAAGGACATCTTCTCGCCAGCTATGTATATGAATTTTGAGAGTCGAAGCCGCACTCATATCGCAATTCAATACTGCCGTCGAACCGAACCATCAAAGATAAATTACAGGCTCGAATCCAAAACATGACCACCCAAACCAAAGCTCCGCACCCCCCATCTTCATCTCGCCGTCCAACGCGTGAAAACCGATCCCTTGACTCCCCGACCTACCGACTCACACCAGCACGACCTCAACAGCGACGCCACACCGGCCCCCTTCCTCGCCCCAACACGGCGCCCCATCGACGATCTCCAACAACACTTCGAACGTGTCGGGGAGATCCTGTTTGAGCAGAATCGCCCTGTCGACGTCCTTGTCTTGCTTCCAATCGAACGTAACCCTGATGCCCGAGATGATATGATTGTGCTGGCCCGGCTGAGCGCAGATTGCGAGGACGGCGGTGAGGAAGGAGGAGAGAGTCATGCAGGAGCGGAGTTTGAGAGGGACGGTGTCGGTTGAGAGGGGGATGGCGATGAAGAGGGTCGTGCGGGACTGTTTGTGGGAGGGGAGTTGGAACGGTGAGTCTGTGGGTTCCTCTGGGTTTAGGGATGTTGGGGTTGGGAACCTGGAGGGGTTCAGCGAGGATGCGGATGGGGTTGGTCGTGGCGACGAGTGGGTGGATGGAGAACGCATTGCCGTCGGGAGCTGCGGTGATGTGGGGTTCAAGGGGTTTGGGGTGGAGATCTGACGCCTACGTTTCGTTGGCCTTGCTAGGGAGCTGGGGTCTGTGGATTCGTGACCCTGATTCTGCGGTCCATGGGATATGGGGGTGTCCGCACTGTTTCCATGTGGCTGTTCGCTGGTTGCCCCCTCGTCGGTGCGTTCCGCAGGGGCATAATATTGTCTTTGAATTCCATTTGCGCTGTCCTCGTTGGGTTTGGAGGTCAGATGCTGATATGGTGACACCGGCACAAATTCACACGGGCCGTTTGGGGAATCCTCTTCACGTCCCTTTGGAGATGATACATCGTGTATCGGTCCCGAAAAAGGTGCTCTTTCGGTTGGCGCCTGAACGGAATGCTGACTATCGTGATGTGCCGTGGGAGGGGAGAGCTGTACGTCAAGACCTTTGGCTTGCATGAGTCTCCGAGGGTTGTTGAGCAAAAAATAGTGGGCGTTTTGTTGAGGCGTAATGTACCCTAGATTCAAGGTGGCTGGACGCGCCGAAGATGGATCCAAAGGATTTGTCAGATGTAATTTTGATGGTTGCCACTCTGGCTGTTGTTGGGCACGGCCATCAAGGTTGGCCGGTGATCCAACAAAAGTTGGATTAGAGAGCATCTGCATGGGATTTGCATGCTGTGACTTCGAATCGATATTGGACCCTTCAGAGTCTCCTGGATCTTTCTGCCACATCCCATAAGCAATTGTTCGCTTCGAAAACCCTTCTGCAGGACCCAGCCAGCTTAAAAAGCAGTAATCCCAAGGGCCGCCTGACCAGTTGTACCCATTTAAGATGAGTCTTCGGCCTCCAATATCAATAGTGCAGAAGGTGTATTGGGGACTCCAAGACCACTAATAACTTCAGCCCCCATATATTGTCCTTGCGGCTGGTCGTCAGTCGCCTGAAGAGTTACGGTTTGCGGAGACCGGCTCTGGTACTGCCTTGATTCTTCTCGGCGAGTGGGGGCAGCTCATGATGATACAGCTGCTTTGCTTCTGCTAGCCATTCGATAAAATGGTCATTGGGAAGTCTGTCCGGATCCGGCCGCATTCCTCTTACCACGGAACCCTCCATATATAAAGTATGTTGGGAATGGACTTAGGCGTCAATCATTCAGAATACCCATCGACATTGAAATTTTCTGTTATGTATGATAATTAGTACGAGTCTTCTGTTCTATCCAAATGGTTCCCACCATGGATTACCAATCTTGGTAATCTGTGACGATTTTCATAAGCATGGCTTTTATCCTATGGGTCTCGCCTTTCATGGTAGTCTATTGTGAGGTTTTTATGTCAGTGATGGACTATTTGAAAAACAGGCCATCCAAACACCAACATGTTATCAGGCTTGGAAGTCTCCCTTATCATGATCTTCTGTAGTGCTCTTGTGCATCAGATGTGGTGATTAACACAAGTGACAAGTGTAAGACATGATGTGAGAGTCGGACCTTACTCTCGGTCTCCTGTATCTGTCCCCAACTCCCCCCACTTTCTCCACTCTATACTTATAGCCAAGCTGAACATTCGACTGAGGGCCCAATAGCAGTCGTCCACAAATCCCACTCTATTCTCTAGCCATAGCACTTACACGCTTTCCCTGAATTGCGCTTGTCCGTGAGTATCATCTTCCGAACGGTGGAGAGAAAAATTGTGTCAACCTACCATAAGATGGCGTCGATATACCAAATAATACAACCCGCGAGGCATCTTCATGCTGTACACACCCAATGCTACGTACACAAGCCCATCGTCGCCAATCTTGTGCGTAGAATGCCAAAGCAGGAATATCAGTCATGAGCCTTAAGAGCGCATCGTAGCCACCATGGCCACTGCAGCAGGCTACTTCGACCGCAAACCCCCTTCCGCCACCCGCCCTCGTCTCTCCCACCTCCAACCCGATCCATCTTCCCCGCACACCCCGCAACGAACCCTCTCCTCAGCCTTCAATTCCCCGTCGCTCAGCTACCGCACACCTGAAGAAGAAACGATCATTTTCGAGTTCGGCAACCGCCATTTCAGCGCTGGTTTTCCGGGCGAGAGCGCACCGAGATGCAGACTGGGATTTGGACCGGAGCAAAGTAGGAGGGTGGGGGATTATAAAAGATGGATGCCAGGTTTTGGTGAGCGGAAGAGGAAAAGGCGGAGGGTTGACGTTTGGGATAACGACCATGAGCTGTGGCGCATGGATGTGAGGGGATTGGATATGGGGCTCGTGGGTGATAAAATAGAAAGAGCGGTCAGGGAGGCCGTCACCAAGCATCTACTTATAGATATGAAAGGGAAACGGCTGGTTGTTGTTCTGCCGAGTCTGATGCCTCATCCTTTGCTAAACACGGTGTTGGGGACATTATTCGCCACGTTCCAGAGTCCGCGTATTACGTTGCTGAGTTCTCCGATCCTTAATACGGTCATGGCTGGGTTGAGGTCGGGGCTTGTGATTGATATCGGATGGAGGGAGACGGTTGTGACCGGGATATATGAGTATCGAGAGGTTCATGAGAAAAGAACTACGAGGGCTATGAGGATGGTTACGTTGGAGATGGCTATGCTACTTGAGAGGGAGCAGGACAAGAATGCAAGAAAGCCGGCAGATGCTTCGAAGGAGGAAGCAGACGATGGAATGGTGACTGTGGATTTAGAGCAGGCGGAGGAGGTGACTACGAGGATGGCTTGGTGCAGGAGCCGCTCGGGGCCCGTTCCGGCATCATCAACCTCTCAAGATCTGCCCGCTCAATTTGGTAATATCTCCATTGCCGAAGACGAGCCCAAAGATTCAACTAGCTCCAGCGATCTCAAAGGAAATACCCCAATCTCCATTCCCTTACCCTCCTCCCCACGCCTCAACATCCAACTCCCGTTCTCAGCCTTAGCCTTGCCAGTCGAGACAGCTCTCCTAGGCAATTCACTACAACGCCACCAACTCGACGACCACGAACAACCCCTCCACAAGCTCATTTACCAAACCTTACTCTCTCTACCACCCGACGTCCGTGCAGTCTGTATGTCCCGCATCATCTTCACTGGCGGTGGCTCAAACATACTTGGCCTCAAGGCAAGACTACTCGACGAAGTTGCTGCAATTGTTGAGACGAGGGGTTGGGACCCGGTGGAGGGGAAAGCGGCGGAGGAGAGGAGAAGAAGGTTAAGAGAGGTTAGTGGTAATCGACAAGCAACGAAGGTCAAGGAGGTCGAGACGAAAACTACAAATATTTCAATGGATCAGAAAGCGTTAGAGGGGAACATATCAAGTCCAGCATCGCTGGCACCGCAACTCCAGGATTCGATCGAAGAGAAGATCCAGCGCGAAAAGGACAAGGGAAGGAAACCCACCGTTTCTGGTGTCATTCGAGGAGTCGAGACGCTGGGCGCTTGGGCTGGGGCGAGCTTATTGGTTAATCTACGGATCAAGGGCGTTGTGGAGATCGAGCGGGACGCTTTCCTGCAACATGGATTGGCCGGGGCTCGAAAGGATGCGGAAGCAAGTGCTGCACCGCAGAAAGCAGTGCCAAGGCCCAACATAGGATGGCAGACCGGATGGACACTTGGTCCTTGGGCATAGATCTCATTGAGTAATTTGATAGATTCGTGCCCGAATGGACTATACGTCTACGTACAGGAAACTAATCCATCTAACCGAAAATTGCCGCCGGCACATCCGCATCTCTAAAGCGACTCTCACCCTTCTCCGCAAACTCCAAATCAAAACCTTCCGCCCTTTCTCCTCCTCCCCCCGGTCCCCGTTCCAAGTCCAGATCCATCGGCGTATCCCCCGTAAGATCGAACCCGCCCTCCCGGATCTTCTCCACCGCTCCGGGCGACAAACCCCCAGGGACCGACCTCCCCGTGCGGACATCATCCCGGAACGAGCCCAGGCAATCCAGCTCCGGAAAGGACACGCACAGGCCGAAGATGGCCCAGTTGTCGGCGTTGAGACGGGTGAGGCCGAGGAAGGCGGCGAAGAAGTAGCCGTAGGATTGGTAGAGGGTGCTGAAGGTCCAGGAGGGCCAGTCTCGGTTGGTGAAGTAGGCGTCCGTGGAGGGCGGGTTGGAGTCGGGGGGTACGACTTGGGGCTGGTCGATGACGACTACGTACGTAGAGAGAGAGGGGGGGGGAGAATGTCAGTACAGGTGTCGAATAGTTCTGTGTGTGGGAGCGAGCGGGGGATGAGAGTTTTCTCGGTGTAACGTACCACCATTGTGACCAAATGATTGAGTTCGTGCAAGTCTTCCAGATCTGCCGATCGTTGGGATCTGTAGACCTCCGAGGTTCCCGCGTTCGGTGTCGGTGCACCGAGGTCGAGCAGAGTAGGTACGTCAAAATGAGAGGGGCACACCGTTATCCCATAGAGAGCTCGTGCCGTATCCTGCACCGCGGTCTGCGCCGCTCCCGGTATCTGACCTTCCGTCGTATATTTGGCGTCTGTAAATGCGGTGGTTGCAAGAAGCTCCTGAGCAACATCGGAATTACAAGTGCCCTTTTGAAGGGGAGACTAGATTTGGCATATGCCAGGCGGAGGTGCCGTCGAGCTGATTGTTGACATACATGAGGCCCGGCCAGATGTCATTGTAGGGTGGTGGTCCTATGCAATCGTGTCATCAGTGTAATGCAAATTGAATCACGATGGTAGGTTCTAGGCGTACTTGTGAGTCCATGTTCTGTGACTGAATCGAAATATTCTCCGATCAATGGCAACGAAAAGTCCTGTTGTCCATTGGAACGGGTCATATGTGTATAGTATACTGCATAGTCTTCCAGGCATCTGTATCGAGGTTTTATGTTATAGGGGTTGGTCGCAGGGTTTGTGAATACTTGGTTGACCATGCCGAATGTGTCTGATTGTATTGTTTAGCAACGGATCGCATGATTCGGACACTGTTCCTTCTCAAACCATACTGATGATGTTGTTGTAAGCATTCACATTGTCTGTGGCAGGATTGAGCTGGTGATTCGCTTGAAAGGTAATCCCAAAGAACAGAAATAGTAGTCCTCTGATTTCCTGCTGAGTAGGAGATAAGGGGAGATTCTGCACGAGTGTCTGCGCGATGGCCGAAACACCGCCGAGAGAATTCAAGGTAGGCTGCATCATTGGTCGCCCATTGGGAGTGGGCCTGTTGCACCCATCATTCCCGGAGAGAGGGTAGAGATTGAAGCTGCCGTCGAACGTTGAATATGAAAGTGGGGTAATGGGCACTCTGGCCAATACCAATGGAGAAAGCGTCGAGAAGAGAAGGAGCTGCAGAGGCGCATGGCCATGAAGGAGAGAATTCAACATAGCAACTAATGGATGACGACGGTTTCATGGAGAAAAATATGGACAGAAATAACAGGATACGTGAGAGAGAAGTCGCAGGCGAGATGGAGAAGGAGATGTTTTGAATGGCACTGATGGCTAACAAGACTTTTCGGACTGATTTGCTCAAGTTGAGTTGGTCGAACTGACTTTTGCGGGCGACAAGGTAAAGGGATAGGGGCAGGAACATCTGACAGTAAGTATGTTTAGGGAAGATGGCCATGGAGTAGTAAACCAGAGGCTGAGCTCGTCATGGGTTTGATTCCTGCTAATTATCTCCGAGCTCGCACTGTTCTTTTACATCTTTAACAAGCAATATTTGACGGTCAACAAGCAATGACTACTTTAATTCGGAACTTTGGACGTTAAAGTATGGTTTCAAGGCTCGCGTTTCAAGTGCCTGCATCGTGAAGGAAGAGAAGTGTGCCCTCATCAAATGCCTGTGCTCCGCCACAACCCTGTCCAGCCGCCGAAACGCGCTAGAGCGCGCTAAACTACCAAACCAACCTCCAACAGACAAGGATTCGCCTCAGTTGCTACCTTTTTCTTGCACCCACTATCGGTCCACCCACGCTGGAACAGACGGTCAATATATCGTTAATATATCTGTTACCTCGTCACCCAGACAATCTCGCTATCAAGATTTTCTAGTGTCCTTCCATCTCGCCCAGATGCTGCTGGAAAGTTAGGAGGTAAACACTGCTGCCTCGGTCAATATGGTCCTAACAATGTCTGAGCACTGCCCCCTAGGGCTTATCTGTAGACTTTTACTTACATGAAGCGGTGACCAGGCACTTGGCCCCGCTATCCCGGGAAACGGGATGTATAGCATGCCGTGACTTTACGAGTAGCTGGAGTGATACTTTTGGGAGGTTTATTTCATTTTGTGCCTTCAAGTTCTTTTCCGCCTTATCACGCTTCCCTACAATCCTACTATATCTTCGCTTTTCAGTATATCGTATTCGATTTTCTATGGACCTTGCATTTCTTACCCGGCTCATAGGCCTGGCGCTTGTAGCATTGCCAGTAGCTTATGCTTATCCATCTTCCCTATCATCCTTCATCTCTGCACCACTCTCACAACCACTCTCACAAGCGACCGTCACAATTGCAGGTCAAGTCTTCATAGTCGATCCAGCAGATATCATCCTGGACAGGACGACAATAGAACCTGGCTCAGCTGGAATTTCCATTAATGACCAAATTGTGTCAGCTGACGCTGCTCATGACCTCTTCGTGGATGGCACCGAAATACTTGCTGATCCGACCGGCTCGAATTCTGCCGAGAATATCGCTAACAACAAAACTGCCAAATTCAGCAGTAATGCAACGTTTTCCGGCAGTGTCCCGGCCAGCTCTGTCACAGCTGCTGCCGCCGGATACGACATCCTGGGAGGAGAAATTGCTCATATAGCGGTACAAGTGGCAAGCACTCATGCAACATATCGCGCAGGAGTTCCAATCTCTACATCCGTATCTGCTTCGACGTCAATGGCAGCAACACCTTCTGGCGGTTCAGCCCCTCTTGGACCTGTCGTGATCCCCTCGGCTTCTTCCGCCATGACCAATTCCTCACTTTCGAAGGCCTCAACTGCTGGACTAGCTCCCAACGTCCAAGAGAATGTATCACAGACACAATCTAGAAGTACAGGTTCGGATTCTATGTCTGCTTCGACGCCCAAGATCAATCTGATCCCCACGGGTTCTTCCATTCATAGCAACAGTAGCTCTGGTTTGTACGTTGTCGCCGGAGCCTCGAAGATATCTTCAAGCGCGTCTTCTGATCGACAGTCAATGCATACAACGGGAACACCATCTCCGTCGGCCATATTAGTGCCTGGTGGGCAGCCCAATACCATAACGACTGGTCCGACCCTAGCAATTCCCACCATTTCCTTAAACCCAACTGGATCCGTGGCTAGTTCACAAGTTATGCTGCTGGTTGGAGCAATCTTTAGCATCACTGAGGAGGCGAAGACCCTCTCTGCTATCATCAAAGACAACGGACCCAAGGTATCTTTGGTTTCGAAAATCAAGGGGATTGATGATAGGATCCTCAATGAGCTGGAGGACATGCATCCTCCTGGCCCTCCTCCGTCGTATGAAGAGGCGTGCCTCCATGGGCTAGCATCTTTGACCTCTTGGAAGATCTAGGTCAAGATTTGGATGACAATTCTCACCAGAAATGCTGCAGGTCCCGACTTCTGCGCCGCGAATAGCTGGATCGCGAACGTGCAGATCGACGATGCCGTGACCAACGCGCCGCCATATCCCACGAAAGATTTCAAGTTTGCCATCCCGGCTGGGATTCTTGAACCGGCGCCTTTGCCTTGCACGTGGCAGCCGAGTCCAGGGAACTCACAACCTGGCAGTATGAGGTGCAATCCGGGCGAGGAGATTGTGCTATGCACGATTCCGGTAACGACGGCCATTACGTGTAAGCAAGACAACCCAGATAGGATAGAGCCACTGGCGCAATGTGTGTTCTGGCAATGAGGTTTGATCGCTAGGCATGATATGCTTAAATCATAAAAACGATACATGTATTAGACTAAATATCTGAAGCCGCCACCTCAATTAGCCTTTGACGTGACCGTATGTTGAAGCATCTGTCCGTCTCGTCATATTATGTGCAAGCGCGGCGCGCAATGTAGATACCTTCCCAGTGAATTTCTGGTAATTTGTTTCTCAACCTATTCTTTTTGGACCGACGACCTTTGGTTGAGTCTGCCTCGAACTTGCTTCTACTTGTGTTTTACTCCAGCCGTGAGACTCTTACCATTTGACGCTATGCACAATCTACTCTTACTCTTCGGTTAATTACATCTCGATTATAGGCGTATTATAAGGGTGGAAATACTCGGAGCGAACTGATAGGCTCGCTTATGTCGCTTATTAGGCTATAAGCTACGCAGCTAGGGCGAGTATTTAATATACTTAATAAAGTCTTAAATACTTACGAGTTTCCTTTTTCTTTCTTCTTTTTTTAGTTATTAATTTATCTAATAACTAATCTATCTATTCTATTAACTATATATCTAAACTTTATAATTATATAGCTACTACGCAGTTCTATTAAAAGAGATCTTACTATTTTATAATTTTAATAACTTTATTTATATAAAGCTACTTAATTTAGCTATAGTAAATAACTCGCGAGTTAATTCTATTAACTTATAAAGTAAAAATATTTTATTATAATTAATTAGCGATATTTTTAATTTAATAAACGACTTTTATTAGAATATATCTATTATATAATTAAGCGATTATAATATTAATTCTAATATCGATAAGAATTCTAATAATACTATTAGTAGAAATAATAATCGTCGAAGCGTTATATCTAATAATCCTCTATTTATAAATAAAGATTCTCGCTTTATAGACTTAATTTAAGTCTAACGCTATTAACTTCTAAAGCTTAATATTAAGAAGTAGCTAGTTATTAAAAAATTTAAGTTAATTAAAATATAGAATATATAAGAATATCGTCGCGAGTATAGCGATAATTACTATTATAATTTAAGTTATAAGAAGATAAGTATTATTAAGATATCTAATATATAATATCTTAATAACTATAGCTCGATAATTATATTTCTTTAAGATTATAATAATTTTATCGTTATTAAGAAAATGAATAACTAGATTATAAATTTATAGTGATATAAAAGATGTTAATTATTCTATGTGCCTGCAGAGTAGATATATACGGTGTTAAGCCACGCTAGGCCTAAATGGGTGGTGGCTCTAAAGGAGGCCTTAACGTATCGTAACAATCGTCTTAGCGCCTTATATCGATTTTCATATAAATAAAGAAAAAACTCGCTAGTCTTTTATTCTATTAGTAAATACTAAGAAGTAAATCTAGAGAAATATTAGAGATACAATATTATGCGATATTAAGAAACTTATCTAAGAGAAATATAAAGGATAATACTTAAACTAAGTTTATAATTTAGTTATTAAATCTTATAATATAGAACGCTAATTAGTTAAAGCGATTATAAAAAATATATAATTAATAGTTAGCTTTAATAACTATCTTACTATACTCTAATAAGTAAAGGCCTATGAATTAAATTTATGAAGTTGGATTTTTCTAAGTTAAATCGAATTTTAGCCCTAGCTCTAAGTATAAATCGAACTCTAATCGCTTGCTATACGTTTTTGACCTACTTTTATTACTACGAAATTAATAAAGAAGATAAAAGCCTTAACTCTAAGTTAAATCGAACTCTACTTACTTTCTATATAATATTTAACTTATTTAATTTACTTCTATTACTATAGATCGCTAATTAATTATATTCTTATCTAAAAAAGAAGCATCTACTTAATAATCTTATTTTTAATATATCTTATTAATCGAGTAAATTATCTTCTTAATAGATCGTTTAAGACTATAATTAATAGATTAATCTTATTAATAACTCGACTTAGAGTTATATATAATTAATTATAAATAAAGATCTCGAAATAAAGATATAGATTAATCTACTATAATAATTAGCTCTAAATCTTATTAATCGTTATATTAAAGATTAATTAAATTAAGAATTAGATATATTAAAAGAAAGTATATAGATTATTTAAATTAAGCGAAGTTAGAGAAATATATAATATATAGTATTATTTATTATTATATTTATCTTTAAGAATATAATAATCGAGTATCTTAGATTTAATATATTTAACTTATAGATATATCTTATTATATAAATTTATATACTACTTTAAATTTTTTAGTAGTATTATTATAGAATTCTATTTTAACTTTAAATAATAAGATAAAAGCGAGATTAATTTAAAGATATTTATTATTTTAATAAGTAGAAAAAAGCTATCTTTCTTATTAATAACTTAATTTCTACTATTATAAATAATCTTAATTTTAAGAAACTTATTAAGAACTTAATTATTAAATTAAATAATATTCTTATTAAGAGTATAAAGAATTATTTTAAATATATAGAAATTAGCTATTTAATATAGATTAAGATTATTATAAATAGTATTAATTAATTAAGTAATAGAGTTATTTAATAGTTACCCGATAGATTAATTAATAGCTTCTTATTTTTTAAAGCTTATTAAAATATTATTATTTATATCTAATAGTCTTTAAGCGAATTTCTTTATATTAGTTTAATCTTAATTAATAAGATTAAGGTTTCGAAGTCTTATATTTTCTATTAGTCTAAGAATTTAAATATAGTTTTAAAGATAAGATATTTTTAATATAGCTCGAGCGATATAATCTAACTTAGTATTCTTAATAATTAAAAGAATTTAATAAAAGTTATTATAGAAGTATATAACTATACTATTAAAAGAAGTAAGATTCTTTTAAATATCTTAGAGTATATAATTAACGATCTCGATATCGTAGCGATTTTATATAGAGATCTTATTTTAGAAAATAAGCTTAATTATCTTTAATAATTAAGCTAAATTAGACTCTATTAATATATTATAATTAGATTAAATAATAGTATTAAGAGAAATCTTAAAATAAAAATAAATAATAATATTATCTTAAAGAAGAATAAAGATAATATTAGATAAAGCTATAGTAATAGCTATTTTAGAGTTATTTTATACTCTTTATAATACGATATTCTAAAGTATAGTCTTATTAATATCTTTATAGCTATTAAGAAAGAAGAGTTAGCTATTAAAATAAGAGATCGTATTTTAAATAGTATCAGCTATAGTAATTTAATTATTATTAAAACTTATTTATATCTAATTTTAGATATTAGTTTAATAGCTATATACTTCGCGTAGAAGTTAATTTTAATTATTAATATAATACTATTTATAATCTCGCTAAATCGCGAGTAAATTAAAATTAATAATAAGACTAATATTCTTTATAGAGCTAATATTATTTTTCTTTAAGCGAATTTAAATTAAATAAAGATAGAAGTCTTCGACGATAGTCTACTTATATTATATATTGTTTAATAGAGAGAGAATATAATACTAAGTTTAAAGAATATAAATAAGATTATTAGATAATTTAAATAAAGAATAATAAGTATTAGTTAAGAAATATACGCAAAATACGAGAGAAGAATTAAATTATTTACGAATAAAAAAAGAAAAAATATATCTAGCGCGAAAAGTTTTAGTAGCTAAAAAAAGAATACTATATTAAAAAAAGTCGCGATATTTTAAAACTATCGTTAGCGCGATAATCTTCTTATTCTATAACTTAACTTATTAAAGAAATTATTAAGAAAAAATATACCTAGCGCGAAAAGTTTTAATATATAAAAAAAGAAATACTATATTAAAAAAAAGTTATAATATTTTAATATTATCGTTAGCGCGGTAAACTATTTATACTACGCTTAAAGTATTTCTATTTAATAAAGAAGAAATTATCTATATATCTTAATTTATAATTATTTTATAAATCTAGAGAGTTATCGAGCTTATATTATAATAGAATTATTATAAAAAAATCTTATAAGTAGTATTCTCTCTTTCAGATCGCTACTTTATTTAATACTTAATCTTATTTAATATTATTATAAAGTAAGTCTCTTATTATATAGATATTATAATAGAAAAAAAGAATATTATTATTTATTATATATAAGTCTTCGAAGAATATAGAGTTTAATATATTTAGAAGAAGATATTATAGATAGAAGAGCTTCTTAGCATTTAAATTAATATAGTATATTCTTTTAATAATATCTCTATATCTCTAACGTAAACTTTATTCGAATATAACTCGCTTATTTTTTTTTAGATATATTATATCGATAGATCGATATAGAAGAGATCTTCTACTTATCTTCTCTATTAACATTATTAATTTGATTAGAAGAAGACTATTAGCTTAATCTAGCGTTTATATTCTATATCGATTATATAAGATAGATTATTATTATTATTAAATATTACGCTCTATTAATTCGAAAGATAAATAGATAATTATTCGATAGAAGAATTATAATTATATAATTTAAAGCTAAAAATCCTTTAATAGACTTTCGTAGAGCCTACTTAATATATATCTCGATACTCTTAAATCTCGTTTACCTAATCTAGATCTATATTATTTTAATCTATATCGCTCTTATACTCTATTTAAAGACTAGCCTAATCGCTATTCTTATAAATATATTTAAAAATATATTTATAGACTTTAACGTTAACGTAAATCTCTATATTAATATAAGCGTTATACTTAATCGATAAATAGAGACTATAGAATATTATCTAATAATTCTACTTAGATTTATTATCTAATATCTTAATAGACCTATATCGATAATATATAAGATATTTAAAGTCTAGTTTAAAGACGATATAATCGCTAAAGTTCTTCGAAAACCGCTTACTATATATATTCTTATCTAAGTTCTAATAAAGTAGAATAATACTTATTCTATTAATAGTATATTAGCTATAATTTCTATAAAGTATATATCTAATAACGATCGTATAAAGATTAAGAAATAGACTTTAATTAG